CCCAGGAGGGGTGATGCTGGCCACGTCTGAAGGCTGTTTTGAGAACTGGTGGTAAGGTGGCGGCACCAGGCACAGAGGCCGCCCTGGGTTCACGCAGGCTTCCCTTCCCCTGCCCAGGAGCTGGTACGGATCCTGCACAAGGCGCTGGAGGCGGCCCAGCTGGAGAAGAGGGCAGCAAGCGCGTTCCTGATGGCGGCCGAGGACAAGGACCGACTGGAGCTGGTGCGCCACAAGGTGCGGCAGATCGCGGAGCTGACCAGGCGAGTGCAGGCCCTGGAGCAGGAGCGGGACGGCCTGGTGCAGACGGCGAGCCTGCAGGAGCAGCACGGGCGAGCCCTGCAGCAGCAGGTGCAGCTGCTTCTCGACAAGAACGAGGCCAAACAGCAGGTCATCTGTAAGCTCTTCAAGGAGGTCACCCGGGACGTGCTGCAGCCCCCTGGCCATGCGTCCGGAGAGGCTGCCGACAGGGACTTCCTGAGCCAGCAGGAGCAGCTGGAGCACCTGAAGGTAGGGCCCCTCCCTCCAGGCCCTGCCAGCTCCCCCCGGGGCCCTCGGGGAGGGTGGCGCTGCTCTCAGCTCTGGGTTTTCTGGATGGAGCAAGGCTAGCCCTGATGGCTGGAATATTCATCTTTGAAATGGCGGCTGGTGGAAATATTGCCACCCTCTTCCTCACGCTCTCAACCACAGGCCCCAGTGGAGCTCGGCCTTTTCATGATGACTTGGGCTAAAGAATGAGGGTGTCTCTGGACGATCACCCTAGAGATAAAAGCGCCCCAGGCAGAGGCAGGACTCCCACTTTGTAGAATAGCTGAGTCTGGGGCCTGGCCTGCTCAGCCTCCATTAGTGCCGCTCTGATGCCCTGGGGAGCCCCCAGCGTGTCGGGGCGGCCCTCCTGCAGTGGGTGCCACCCTGCGGGAGACCTGTGGCCACCTGTGCGTGCTCGTAATAGAGGTGGGCAGCACTGCTCCCGTGTGCGGCACCGGTCCAAGTGACTTGCCTGCATCCTGTCATCTCATCCCTGCACCAGCCCCGGGAGCAGGCACTTTTACGGCCCCCACTATACAGATGAGAGCGCCGAGGCCGGGAAAGGTCATTTGAGTTACTGAAGCAGCAGGGGAACTGGAGTGGGGTCGGAGCACACGTCTGCTGCCTGGGCAGCCTGCCCTGCTGTCCCTACCTCCTCTGCCCCTTCAGCTACTGCCACCATCCCTGCCTCACCTTCTTTCACCCCCTCTGTCCTGTCTCTGCCTCACCCCCCAGGAGCTTGCAGCACTGGGGGAGGGAATTTGATTTTACGTTTGATGCCCACCAAGGGAGGACAGACAGGAGCTGCCAGACCATCCATGGCCTGAGGCTGCAGCCAGCCATTCCTAGGCCTCACTGTCCCTAAAGGCAGTCACACAGCCAAGGCCAGTCCTGACCTGCAGCCTGCCATTCACAACCTCACGGGTTTCTGTTCATGCAGCCATGGGATCTCTCGTGCTGCCGTATCCAGGAACTGCTGCGGAAACAAAAGGAAGGAAGGAGGGAAACGGGAAGCTTTTAAGAGAACCAGTGAGCAGTGTGGTACA